TCACAAGTTGCACATCAGAAATGAACTTGGAGTAAGTAAATAAGTTATTTGTATTTGCCATACCATGAATACAGCCGTCATCTCAGAAAAAGAATCAAATGTTGTTGTCAAAAATTGAAGAAGAGTTTGATAGTCTCCTGTAGCCAAAGCTGTCCTCATGTCATTTCTGAAATTTAGAAATTTCCCAACTGTTATTTATATTAGTCTTATATGTACATATTTAGTCAAATATTAAGTCAAAAGAACATGAAATCAATAGCAGATTTGCATGTTGTCGTCATTTGACTACAACTACCAGAATTTGTTTTGTTTTTTCTTTATTATCTAAATTTTGTATTCCCAGTGGGGTTTAAATAACAATCGCCCTAATTAGCATAAGGAAGAGTTAAAGTGAAGGATTCTGGAAGTTGTCATCAAATACGCCATCACGCAAATCGCTTATTAAAAACCTAAATTTGTGTAGCTTATCATATACCTGCCATTATTCAAATCCTTTTGATACAAGAATGTATTTTCTCCCAACTAGCCGCCGATGCGGTATTGCTGTCTCGACATTGCATTTAGTTTATAATATTAAGTTAGAGTAGTCTTGGATTCAAAAGAAATTTAAGGCATTAAGCATATTGCTCATGATCAAACTGGAACAAGTCTGCATTTAAATGTAGAGCCCTGTGAGCATATGCATGTATTCATGACCTGGCTAAGCAACATTTAACAGCTGGTCCTGCAGCTGCTGTGACTTCCACATGCTATCTTCTAGAGAGAAAACGTGACCTAACAAGGCAGCAGAAAAGGAATACAATGTATGTGCAACTTAGCATAACTCCACGTCAAATAAAGTATCTTATCTTGTCTTATCTTGTCTTATCTTATCAGAACACATCCAGATGAAGCCTTGTATTTTGTGTGCTAACCTTCAGTAACATTATTAGTCCATTGAAAGTACTATGACTTGTATACAAAATTTAAATATGTCATTCAGAAACTGAATTCTCCAGAAAATGTGAGGTACATGTAGATGCAGGGCTCAAAAAATAGTGCTGCCCACTCGTCCAGGACAAGTAGATTTTCCTGCCAGCCAAGAAACAATTCACTCTAACTTGCCCAATGGGTAAGGGGCCAGACAAGTCTTCTGCCAGCTAAATTAAAATATAGTAAACTAATACTTGCCCAGTGCAAGCAAAATTTGGGAGGTGCTTGTTAGAAGGCCAAGCAGGAAGTGAAGCTTTTTCGGACCCTCTAGATAGCAAACAATTTGTAGCAGGTGAAGAGGAACATTCACTACCTTCCAAAATAGAGAGGGACATTAGTATTTCCACCAGAGCCCGCCATTGCGGAAATCCCGCATTACAATCAGAGATGGCCCCCAGAAAAACGAAAAAGGGTCAATTTGGCCCTTTCCATTTACAAGACTGCAGGCTTAACATAGGCATAATATTTTAAAAGTCATCCAGGGCTCAAAATTGTGATCGATACCGTTGCCAATGCACCTAACATTTAATCCTTGGCGACCAAAACTTCTGGTTTAGTCGCCATAATACGGCATAATGGAGACTACATTTCTCTGTGTTGGCAATCAGTAACAGTTATTTTGTCACACATTATGACCTAGAAAATCATATTGAAAGATCTTTGCTTCTAAAACATTCAGCATAAGAAAAGTCAATCCGTGCTTTTGCTTTGCTGTATTGATTCTCTCATATCAGAAAACTTCCAAATGGCTGAACGTGTTTGAAATCGCCCTATAACGCATTGCAAACCCTTGATCATTGACTACCTCATGTTCTCTTGTAATGCACGGATCCTTCATACTAGTATCTGTTTCAAAAGAAATTTTATTGAGTAGAAACACTTCAAAAACCACTAACTATAAATTTTATCATAGATCCTAATAAACTGCTTTATTTTCCTTGGTACCCTGATGCATTTTTTCATTCTGTAGCTTTCAATTTATTAGCCCCTTTCCTAAAATATTGGCCCTAAAAAAGATCTTAAGGGGCTACTTTGGCCCTCAAGTAAAATTTTCTGGCTGAAACACTGGGATATTATTTTTACACTTTGTCTTTGACTAGATGAAATTAGCCTAAGGCCACTTTACTTTCTCCTGAGTGACTATTAGAATTCAAGGAACCTGGCCTCTACACTATTAAGTATTGGAGTTGAGTTTTAGCCATGGCACATAGCCAATGATCCAACAAAGTTCTCACTCTCCTAAACTTCCACCTACAATATAATGTGTTTCTATGACTCCATGGAGACACTGGAAATATTTTCTGTTTCTTCAACAGCAATTTGATAACTGAAATGTAAATCAATCCTGCTTTACACTGAAATAAACATACACCTGTAGAGTCCAATACATACATGTATGATAATAAATTCCTGTCTTAGAAATTTCTAGTGCTACCTGCAGGTTAAAACTTAAAAATGACTAATGGATCTTAAAGTAGAGTACATTAAACTCACATGTATTTAAATTCCTATTTTATTTTTATTTTACTTCAGACCAGTGAAAAGAATTCAAGCAAAAAAGTGATAACAATCTGAACATATTAACCATTCTAAAATTCAAAACCATATTTATATTCTTTTTCAAGGTGAAACACGTGACAATTTAGGAATAAAGACAATCATATTTATTCTAGAAAAATATAAAACACGTTCACAGTTTATTGTAAGAAATACCTTCGATTGAAACTGTAGTTTTAAATAAACAATACTACATGATGTAAATATTTCTCCCTTCGCCCCACGATCGTGAATACTACAGTTTGATCAACTTAAGCTTAATTTATTATCATTAATTTTTCTTCGCTTTCAGATCGCCTGTATTAGGGACAATGCAAGCCTTAAGGGGTCACAAGCGATTTCAATCGCTTAATCTTTTCGTCACGATCAATGAAAGAAACAAAAGTGTTAAATGAAGCTGGTGAGTGCTAACTTTTGTCTGAGTGCTTGTAAAACCACAAAGCATGCATGACCTCATATACCACACAACAAGGAAATGATTCAATTTACCTTAGCGACAGCGCGTTGTCGTATCGTATCTTCTTCTGCGGCTCTTTCTCCGGCTCATTTCTTGAACGACTGCTACGACGAACAACCACTTCACTGTCCGACGAAGTCGCTTCAAGCCGTTGATGTTGCGATTTCGATACTGACAGAAGTTTGCATTCGCCATCTTCAGGATCTTGTTTTAACAGCAAGCTTCGTTTCTCTTTACCTCGATGCAAAAGAGCCGTCCTTTTCTTGTCAGATATCGCAGGTCTTGAAGTTTGCCTTGAAGAAGAGACTCGTTTGCTTTCCTCGTTATCAGAAAGCACGTCCCCAGTAGAATTATTCGCACGGTTACTAGCTTCCATTGCATTTGTGTTGCTGAGGTTACGAGCGAAGCGTGATGAATTTGGTACCCTTGAGTTCAAGGTTTTCACATTCCCTGACCCCGTATCCAAGTTTGTAGCCTCTGTTGTCACGGTTGTCCCTTTCGTAGGTCTCTTTAAGTTGTTCAAAACAGGCCTATCGCTGCGTGGAGACAGCGACGGAGAGAGCTTGTTTGAACTCTCTCCCATGTCGCCGACATTCTCGCTACCTCCTTCGATTTCTTCGCGCGTCGAGCTTGGAGAGCCGGAATTTCGATGCCGTGAAGTAAAAAGATTTGCCAAACCACCTAATCTTCTCCCGGGACGCGGCCGTTCTGGATGACTGTTCTGTAACAGCACACATAATTAATCATTACGACGCGAACAGTGAAATAAAATTAAGAAAATGACACAGACAACTCACGACAGTTGTGACTCGCACTTCCTCCTGATCTTCATTCGGATTGAAGAGAGGGTTCTTTATCGGCGGTAGCAGGCGAGTGGAAGGGTTTTTAGCACCACCACCGGACATATCTCCTACTTAATCATCCATCTGAAAATCTCCCAACAGCACCGATCCAAACCACGGATAAAAAAAACTAAGGAATATGTGAAGATAACTTCAGCACCGTGCATAACATCCGACAGCCATTTTTTTGTTTTTAATTGGCATGAGTGGGTGCGCTCGACCGTGGCATGACACTACAATGTGATTGGTTGGTCACCGGGATGTAAGATGCAATTGGTTGAAGAGGAACTTTTCAGAGACTTGCTTACAACAGGTGTAATAGTTCTCGTCAACAATTTAATCAATATTTCATATCCCACTACTCAATTTTTTTCTCCCTTACCTACAGAATAAACGTAATTACCGACAATTTTACATTATCCGCACAGCTCTGAGAAAACAAGAAAATTTTTCATCCAGAAATTTCCTCGATCACTTCAGCTTTTCCTTGCATGTTTGATTGTCAAGGAAGTTTGACATACTGATGTCGAGTTCATATTTCTAGCCACAGGATATTAGATTTCGTCGCTTTATATTTTCAAAGCAAAAATAAACATTTGCAGGATGGGCGACTGAAATTGACTCCAACCATCTGCAACTTTTTAGTTCATTCCAGTCTTGCGATGAAACCAAGTGGCCCCAGTTACTTTTCTTTCTCATGAAACGAGCCTCCAATCCATATGCTACAATCAAAGACATTTATCAGCTTAATACATCACAACTTGTGACGGAAGTTTGTCAAACAGGGAAACAAAGAAAAAAATTCTCGAAATTTTTACGACCTGAGTTGAAATTTTTAAAATATTCAAAAAATTTCCAGACTAAATGTTGGTTGTCCCTGTAAGTTGTTGTTGCTTGGGTGATTCAAGCGAGGGAATAATTTACCCTCATTCCGTCATTTAATGAACTTCGTCGATCAGTTGCTATAGATGTTTACGTGGTGCCTTCCTCAAAGCTGTCTTGTTAAAATCAATACCGAACGAAATGTTTGCTTTGGAGCTATGCCAGACGGACTGTCGAAGCTCTAAAAAAAGATTTGGTCCATAATGCAAATGATAAATTTAGCATAATAATGACAGCTAGACCATCTTTACCTTTCCGTGATGGAAATGTATAAAAATATAATTAGTAGTTCTTATACGTCTGGAGAATTGATAGATAAAACAAGGATAGAAGTTAATTAATAATAGGTGATGTTATCACGATTTTTATAATTTTGAAGGGCGCTAGCGCTTAATAACCCGCCACCTTTAGATAACGAGATGAAACGAGATGAAACGAGAAAAAGAAACTGTCAACGATTATCATTAAAATTTCATGGCAATTAACAGTTAGCTGGCAACGAATAAAAATTAGCGGTCAAACTGTACTGAAAGAGCTGACATATATTTTTCGTTAATTATCATGTTATTTGTGTGGGCGATTTGCCCGTCCGGTTACGTAACGCTCGACAAGTGTTACCGTTTTTGTAGAAACATCACTGTTGCTATGAAGTCATTATGTGTACGTTTTATTTCATGTCACATGATTCTCCCTCTCAGTGGGTTACCAGTGGAGATGGCACGCAATGTGAGACATCTGTATCCGGGGGAAGAGGGCTGCCATATGAAAAGGTCGGGGAAGCTCGTCGGATAATTTGAATTAAACCCCTAAAGGAGACCAATCTGGGTGTGTTTCGAACTTTAGGTACCACTAAAACGTAATATGCTCGATTACCAGCCGCTATTCAAGAAAGGAGCCCGCGCTAGTAGACAGCTAAAAATAGTGGCGTTTTGTCATCAAGACCCTAAGTGAGACCAGAATTCTTGATTTATACCCCTAAGCGAGGCGACGAGCATTCCCTACCTTTTCATATGGGAGTCCCCCCCCCCCCGGGCATCTGTAAAAGCATGAAAGGATCTTTATGTTAACTTTTTAGTTGGCTCAGCTTCGAGCCTGATAAAATGAAGCTGCAGGCCACACGCTGCTAGCTAGCGCTTAACATATGGACTACGACTTCACTGTCTTCTGATCGGCATAACAACTGATTACAAATGGCCTGTAGATCGATACTAATGAACTTCGTAATAATGATTTCGGACAAGGTTTTTTACATCTTTCTTTCTTTGTTCGTTTTTGAACCTCTTGCCTAATGGGCAGCTATTGTTAGCAATAAATTTGCAAGTATGATATTGACTCCTTGATTTTATATTAGAAGTAAACACTGTAGATATCAACTTACGGCTATTTTCTAGAGAGATTCAGGTCAAACACCCCAAAACTATATTTGAATATCGTAACTAACATTCTCGCTCGATAAATAGATTAAATATAAGGCTGAACAAGAAGCGAAAGGAAGCTTCTCAAACTTATTACATGTAATAATTCATCAAGTTTAAACAAAGAAATTCATGGCCGTGACGGTGTTTGGACAAAACAGCATAGCCGGATTTTTACGATTTTACTTCTCCTTTTGCGCTTAGTGTTAGTTTCGATTGAGACTCTGATGTATCAAGCACTTAAGACAGTGTTTAACCCCATTTCCAAACACCTCGAAGTAAAGGAAAGTTCGTCAAAAATACTCCGCTGCGCGTCGCATTTTCAACACTCCCAGCTCAGTTTTTTGCTCATAAAAATAAGATGGTTGTTGTGTTGAGATGACGTGTGTGATTCTGACTTTCGGTATTATTGTTCGGACAACTTTTTAATGTTTTGATATAAATTTTAACTCTTCAGACTTAAATGAAGTCATTATTACAAATCGAAAGTTTGATTCCTATCTGGTAGCTGCCGGTTTCGCCCCATGGCGAGTTCGCCCCAACCGAGTTCGCCCCCACATCGACTCAACTAGCGATTAAGTGCTTAAAATTTATCTTTCTCTTACCGAGAAAAAAAGACAACATTGTGCGCATGATTAAACAAAATCACACAAAACATGTTTATTTTTCGTTCTTTGATCTATTGAAGGTGAAGGCAAACTCGAATTAGAAAGTTCGGAATAAGTTCTGAGGGGTGCTAACTCGGTAGGGGCGAACTCGCCATGGGGCGAAACTAGTATCATTCCATGATAAACAGTGACATCCCAGTAAAACAGCAACAATGACGTAATTCCATCATTACCAATTTACAAATCAGCTATTTACATGAACATGAACCTGGCCTGTAGAATTTTCTGTGGATCATGAAATTAGGCCCCGTCCACACTGCACCGGAGAAATTTGAAAACGGCGTTTTCATTCTGAAAATGCATCAAATGTTTCCTGTCCACACTACGCCGGAAATATTCGAAAACGCAGCAATCACCGGTCATTTTGGATTTGTGTTTGACGAAAACTCGGGCAGGGAATCGAAATCACATGATTATCGTCAGTGGCCGCGGCCGCACTAGAGAGTTTACCGGGTTATTTCTAATTAATTAATTACGGTTAACCGGGTTACCGAAAAATCGTGATGCGACCGCTAGTTTCGGCTGTGCATGGAACTTAAATCGGGTTTACGGTTACCATGGAAATTAATTGAAGAACAATAGATTTTTTAACCGGGTTAGGTTAATTTTAAACCACCTTTTTCCGTGCTTTAACCCAGGTTAGTGGTCTCTTATCAGCAGTCTGATCAGC